ATTTTATCACATTTACGCACTGATACTGTCACAAATTGAAAAATATACCCCTTTTCAAATCGCTTTTTAAACATGAAGGGATAAAGACACCAAGCTGATATTTGGAACATCTGATCATCATATATAATTTAATTAATGGAGCAAGTTTTAACAACAAGCGTACTTGCCCACAGGGTCAAAGGTCACCATGAAAACGAGGCATTTTTGTGCATTTTTTGTCCCGAATGACCTTTTGACCTACGATTACCCCCTAAAATGATAAAAGTCCGGAATTTTTTGTGGTGAAACATTTCCAACTATATAATTATAATTTGGTGCATAAGACCCATTTAATAACTGATTTGGGTATTTTAATGGGGTCTAAAAATGGAAGAAAAATTACGCAACTAAAATAAGTTAGGGTGTTTACGAACCAATATTTTCGTAACAGGGTCCGGTATACCAAAAGTCATGTCATATTCCTGTTCTACAGCCAAAAGTTAGTCTAGATATCAATTTTCAGTTAATTATCTTTATTCTATTTGAAGATATGGCTAATTGAAAATGCAACTTTACAAATATGTCATAATTGATAGCTAAAATGGAGTATAACCCTAAAATTTCAAATGGCCGTAACTTCTAAACGACTTGGAATTGGCAAGTCAAATTTTGGGTTTGTTCGTCAGACATGTTGGTGCACATTATATCCGAGTTTCAAGAAAATCTGAGACGGTACCCAGCCATCCCATTTGTTGAGTTGGCACGGAATGACCCTATAGTCCTCATCGAACAAAGCAATATCAATATTCATGGTTTTCCCCTTCTCATTTTTTGTTACAGCCTATTATGTTTGTATAGGCTATTATTTCATTTTAAATATCCCAAAGAAAGATCTTGCTGATGCTGCCTAGCCTAGATCTGAAGAATGTGCTTTCATACAAAAGTAATGTTTACGATGTCAAGCCATGGTCAAACAAAAAACAGTGTTTTTAATTTTATTTAATTGAAAGTTAGGTAGACTAAATCTCTATATAATATCCATAAATAGGCCTGGTAGGTTAGCAGGCCTTGTTTCTAGGGCAAGACCAAATGTTTTTAGGCTTCATCAGATGGTACCTACAGAGCACCCCCTGTGTTTGCCACTGATTAAATAAAATTTAATTCAATTCAATTTTTTATGCTTCATCAGCCATCAAGAGCTATTAACTGCCAAACATTAATAATAAATACAATACAATATATACAAGGGTTAAATTAAACTTGGGGGCCTACATAGAGAGAGTGGTTCTAATGTCAGTACGAGAGGATATGGCAGGATCGAGAGTGAGTTTACATGAAAGGCACAAAGCAAAGGGAAAAAACAGAAGTGGGAAATCAAGAAGTTTGAGCATGGAAGGACAGCAAAGCAGATGTCGAGTAACGTGATGGAAGAAGATGTCAAGCTAGAAGAAATGAATGTAAGGGATGGTCAGGCGATTGAGTAATTTTAGCGAGAACATAAAGAATAATATTATGACACAAGTTTAATAGAACAATGACAACGGATGTGAGCACAGAGATGTAGTTAGATGAAGAAGCAGAGGGATCAATGATTTTCTCAAGGAAAATTTCAATACATAGGATTATATTTGTCACATTTTGGCCAAGTGCAGACTGAATGTGGGATTTACATGGTTTCAGGTGTTTAAGTTATTTAAGGATGAATAATTTCTAAGTGCGGATTTATAGGACGTTAAAATTAGGGCATGCCATTTAAGATCATGTGTTATGGTTATTCCTAATTTAGATTCCCAAAATACATATTCATTAGCTGACTTTTGGATAGTGAGAAGGTGAGACCATTTTGCTGAGACTAGTTTTGAGGCTAGCAGACAGGCAGCAGTGGGCAGATCATGGCCAGCAATTAATTATTATTCAGCAATATGTTTGTTGTCATATTACAAACAGTGCAGAGATTCCAAGCTAGACATTTGCAGGCATGAGACTTTGTCCTGAAAAGTCTTCCCATTAGGGTGCCAGGGGCATAAGGTCCTCTCCCCATAGAATTTTTCTCTAGTGCGTGGAAATGCATTCTTTGCCACTTTAGGGTGGTATGCTTACCATTAAAAATAAATGAAGGAAGGCTGTCCAAAGATGAGATATGAACCACGCATGTACGCATTTTCTTTCATCTCATCTGACAGTATTTTGTAAAAAAAGTGTTAGAGCAGCTTAAAATGATTTATACTGATAAGTTTGGAATGCCACTGCATTAAATTTAGTGTACTTGGAGAATATATATATGTATAGTCAGGGAGTTGTTATAGTGACCAACTACTGGTATAGTATATTCAAATCATGCAGCTGCGTAGCACTGGGCACACGTATAATGTCAAATAGATAGTAATACAAATCCTAACATATATGTGGTGTAATATATCGTAGTTCATCAAAGTTTCTGATTATGTAGTTGTATGATAAAAGAGGTCACTGTTTGGAAGAAAGCCGTTAACACTGTTAAATTATATATAAATCATTAAAGAAGGGTAAATTCAGTGTTTGAATAAAGGACATAATATACATTGTGTAGCATAGAACATATTTACCTTTGATGATAAACTCCAACCGTCTTGCAGTAATGCTATAAATATAGGCCTATTAATACTGTAAATTTTGAATGTTAAAGAAGAGGAATCTGCGAGTGTGAAAACAAATTATGTTTGTCATTTTCATAGCCTTCCAGTTATTTATTTATAAATATATTTATGAATATGTAAAAAAATATTCAATTGCGAGTCTATGAATATGTATTTAATACATCTTATCTTTATTCAAATTCACAGAAAAACTTAAAAATACATTCACAGAGCTGGGGTTTACTGTCAAAATAGAATCGGACTTAACAGCAGAAGAGATGAGCACAGTGATTAAAAATGCTGCTGAAGAGGACCACTCAAATTATGATGCCTTTGTATGCTGTATTCTGTCCCATGGCAACTATGGTTTTGTCACTGGTGTTGATGGTGGTACCTGCAAGATCATGGACATCACCAGACATCTGTCATCGTCAAATTGCCCAAGCCTTGCTTACAAGCCGAAAATGTTTATTATTCAGGCCTGTCAAGGCACCATACATGAAGAGAAAGTTAATATAAATATAAGTAGCACTAGCTTTGATCATGACCCAAGGAAGGAGAGTGAATTCATACCAGATGATGCTGATTTCTTGTTTGCGTATTCTACGTGTCCTGGAAGAAAATCAAAGCTCAATATGAATTCTGGTTCAGCCTACATAAGTAAGTTGACAGAAGCTTTAAAAAAATACCACAAAGATCTTGACATATTAAGCATCCTAACGCTGGTTAACAAAGAAATGTGTAATGTTGATTTTAAAGAAACAAATAAGCCTACTGGTGTAGTTTAGCAGTGGAAGTGGGGGTGGGTGAATAGTGTAAAGTGCGAAGCACCAAGAGGAAGGAGGGCGGTCCCTCCCATTTTAGATTCTTTGGGAATTAGAAGGCTAGACGCACTTAGATAGCATCTGAAAATAAAAGGTTAACCTTAAGATAGAAGGTGTATGTTTAACCAGAGTTTAACCACGAGAGGCACACACATAAGACGAGTGACCATTTTTGTTTGCTAAAAACTAAAGGGGAGTTGCCAGTCACCCTATGACCCATTTACAAGCTTAATTAAATAAATAAAAAATATTATTGGCATAGGACCATAGCTGTCTCTTATACACATCTAGATGTGTATAAGAGACAGGTATTATGTCTGGCAGTAGCTATAGTACCTTGTCAGTTTTTGTTTCCTTGGTGACAGGCTACCATTCATTGACCTTAATTCATCATTACTCCAACCTTTCATATTTTATGGAAGAAACCTGTTAATAAGCTTTTTTTTTTGCTGATTTCACCAAAGTAAGTCAATATTATATGTAAATATTGTAGTTCAGGCAGGGTTACATAATTTGCCCCCCGAAAATGTATTGTTTTACCTTCTAACTAACATTGCATTCCATCACATCATTTAATAGGTAATGATTTATCTGTATTCGACGGGTTCAACACCACCCTGGTCTTGGCACTTAGGCTAATTTACTTAATCCAAGTTATGCCTATGTGTGATTCTTGAATATCATATTCCCTGCGGCTTGAGTCCCTTTGCTGTTAAAATTTAATCTACAATGCACAGCCCATGTTCAGACCACAGGGTGGTGCCATTGGATGGCAAAGTTGGGCCTGGGCCCAGCTGTCGGGGATGCCTGGTCAAGCTGTCAGTAAGTCAACGTAAAATCTGTTGGAGAAAAATTAATTAGAAATAAAGTTAGGTATCTTTCAATGTAAGTTTGAAAATCAATGTCTTTTACCTCTAGTTCCAACTACTCCAACAGTCATCCCAAAAGTCTTACTTCCTAACCAAAATGGTAGGATTCTGCCTCTATTGTTCTATTTTATTTTACTAAACATTAAACAAAAAGGAAAAATAAAATTCAACTGCGTACTTGTATTAGGTAGCCGGGAGGTCCACTTATTAATCTGAGATAAGAAAGTATAGTACATACTCCAAGTATTGAAACGCATGCCATCGTGTTGGGATTCGATATTTCAACATTAATTATGTCATCATCATTCCTGATGATGTATTAGTTAGTGGTAGCCTCTGTGTGTGCGCTGAACCGTGGAGATCTCTAGGTCCCTGGTTCAATTACCATCGCTGCCTCTCCTTGTGTTTTAGCTGGAGGGCTGAAATACAAGTTACAATAGCGCACCGTCTTTCAGATGAGATGTTTAAGCCATAGTCCTGTGTGCATTTATGGCCCATGTGCACATTAAAGAACGCAGTACACTCTTCGGAAAAGAGTAGAGTATTGTCTCCAGGTGTACTGCCCAATCACCACCAGAAGGACCCCACTGGAATAAGTCCTTCTTCTATTTCGTGGGCTATCCTGGTGTTTAAACCTTATAAATCCAAATCCAAATTACAAGCTCTCAATTGAAAAATAGGAAATATATTGCTTGCCAAGTAGACTCATAGGTCTACATTAGAATTTACCATCTCTATTAATATTTTTTGTATAGACCGTTATGTACTTAAGAATTTTGTAGTTGAAAGGCTGTAATTAGTTCAGTGCTTCAATTTTAAACCCCTTCCCAGACTATGAAATTTTGTTTGACAAAAATATGTGACATTTCTAAATATGGTCATAATGACATCATATCATGACCAAATATAGGCAAATCATGATTATGGGCATACACCAGTTTTGGGAATTTTTTTGTAAGAAAATTTTATGATCTGGACAGAGCTAGATTTTACTAAATGTATATACACCATAAATTAATAGCAATATTAAGCATTTGTGTAATTTTGTAGTGGAAAATTAGTAAACAAAGTACTGTAGTAAGTAGCGTAAGAAAAAATTGCTTATCCAATTTAAATTCCAGGTTTTGTCTTTGTTGTCTTTTGAGATTTTTTTTTATGGTCAACTTTTCTCTTTAGTGTTTGGTTTAAATTCATTTGCTGTTTTAACTTTTTACCAATCTTAAGTGTATTATCATAAGTTTTGTTAACACATCTGATTAAACTATCTTATTGTATCTTACATACACATACCAACCTGAGAGATTTGAAATGTGTGACTACTCCAGTTTGGGTAAGGGGGTGGGGTGCCAGGGTGAGGGGCAGAACCCTGGAGGACTGGGGTCAGTCACATAATCAACGGTTGTTTGTGACAATGAACGTGAAGACCACACGCGACTACTAGTTTCTACTAAGTGCATGGTTGGCTGGGTTGTTTTTGCTCGGTATGATTCTCGAACGAGAAAACAAAAGCTGTCTAATGACTCAAGCTACTGCATGGCCGTTTTTATATTATAATAAAACCAATTTCTTCTAATTTTAAATACATTTTCCCATTAGTTCGTGATAATTCGTTATCACGCATAGACTTGTGCTAAATGTGTGGCAAATTTCTGATCACATGTGTTTCTCCAAAATACGTGTTTCATCCAAAATCACGATGCGAGACGGTTGGTAACTATGTATACACGCACACATAGTAGCAATTCCAAAGTTTGAATCCTGGTTGGGGCAATTTTTTATACTTGCAGACTAGTAATTTAAAGTATTATTTAGTGTACATATATTACGATATAGCAAACCATTGTTCACACCTAAAATTATGAGCATAGTGCACTGGAAATTGTTAAAAATCATGACTATTAAAGTATTACAAATATCATTAGGAAAAAATTGACAGAGCAACACAATTTGAAAATTTAGGACAATCCTTTTTTTTTTTTGGCAAAATTTATATTTTTCTACCAAGGAAAGCCAAAATTACTTGATATTTAAAAACACACTGTGCTTTGCCCTATCTATATCCTCATTATGATTTTCATTTTTTCATTAAATTAATTTTATACTGTAGTTTTGTAATTTTTTTTCTATTATTGTTATGATATTTATTATAATGTTTAATATCATTATTATTACTCTATAGTTTCCTTTGGTAATGTGCTTAAATTGGTTTCCTCTGAATGTGTAGTTTCACTTAAATTTTAGTGGTTTCTTTAATACCAAAATAATGTCTGTTGATATTTAAAGTAATTGTGTAGTACATAGATATAAATGATTCTTTATCTATTTTACAGAAGAAAAAAATTGTATTACATTCCAACATTTACATTCCATCAAATTAATTTGTTCATTCTGATGCTGCTCTTTAAAAGTCAGTCACGCACTGCATCGAATGGAAAAAAAATTTGCCGTAGGTCCCTACGCACTGCATTCGAACTACAAATCTTTTTCTGTTCTCTGATGGCTAGAAGAAGTCACACAGTAACCTACTGATTGTCGACAGCGAATTGTCATTAAAAATGACCCATCAGACAAATGTCGGTGCAATGATACCCAGCGTAAGAGGTAGTTGGTGGCATGTGTGTATAATTTCTCAGGATGTGTTTGTTGGGAATATGTATTACTGTAAAGTTGTTTTATCATTTTTTTAATAACATTTGTAATCATGCCTCAAAATATGAAATTTGTTTTTATTAAAGAATAAAAATAAGTGACATTTTATATTGTATTCCCTTTGTCTGAGTTCACTCTGATTTTTTTTAAATTTCCTCCGTGATTTATTAAAGTGCTTGGCGCAGAAGTTGGATTTAACAAGCACTTACGATTTGAAGCAGTGACGTAACTTCAGTGAACAGAGCCTCCAAAGTTGAGACTCCCCCTCCCCCCCAAAAAAAGAGGCCATGCCCCATAAAGAAATAAAATAATATAAACCAATGCATAAGACTAAGATTGTAAAGAAATATATATAAACTATTATTTGATAATAGGTCTATAATATAATTATGCAGGACTAGAGTGTAGTTTAAAATTGTTAAAAATAATCAATTATTGACACAAGTATGTATCATCGTAATGACCGTGGCGGATCTAAGATTTAGCAGTGGAAGTGGGGGTGGGTGAATAGTGTAAAGTGCGAAGCACCAAGAGGAAGGAGGGCGGTCCCTCCCATTTTAGATTCTTTGGGAATTAGAAGGCTAGACGCACTTAGATAGCATCTGAAAATAAAAGGTTAACCTTAAAATAGAAGGTGTATGTTTAACCAGAGTTTAACCACGAGAGGCACACACATAAGACGAGTGACCATTTTTGTTTGCTAAAAACTAAAGGGGAGTTGCCAGTCACCCTATGACCCATTTACAAGCTTAATTAAATAAATAAAAAATATTATTGACATAGGACCATAGTTTTAATTATACATTTATAGCTGACATAGGGTATGCCCACCCTTGTTTTACTTAATGTGTTATTTAGTTACCGAGGTTGTTTTTTTTCACTAAATATTTTTCATTATTCTAACTTTTAATTTGTTTTAAAATGGTAATTGTTTAACACTGATTTAGTTGCATCTTTCAATCTGCCTTGCTTTTTAAAATGAAAGTTTGGATTTATTTATTTTTGTAATTGTAAAT